CCACCGCCAGAGTGAGTCTGCCACTGGCGCAGGCCCTGGCACCTCTGATCTCCCACCGCTCGCCGTTAGGATCTCAGCAGTACTCGGACCGGCAAGCGTGCGTGGCATTGTGCCGGAGAAGGAGGGAGACCCTGACCATGCAGAGGACACTGGTAACGTTTAAGCCTTTTATTAATGCAGATCAAATGTGTCCGTCGTTAAAAAATAAAACAAAACCAAATCTCAATGTTCCCCAAGTGACTCTGGACGAAGGGTCCAATGAGGCATCCCGGGCGACGACCGAAGACGTGGCTGCCTCGGGCGCATGGCGCACCTGGAAGTGGCCGAATGCTAACTGACACTGTCCTGCAGCCACAGAGGGACATGATCAGTGCGAGAAGAACTGCACAGAATGTGTGACGTCCTGACTGAAATTTCAGGAACACCTAAGGAATTGGTGAAAAAATAAAATATGAAAATCATGCCTTCTGTGTTGGTTCTATAAACGACGCATGACATCCTGTCTCAATATGGCCCCCTGCTGAGATCCACATGTCGGGGCGGGGGCTGCACTTCAGGCTGGTCAAGGTGAGGAGGGGGAGGTAGCCCCGGTGGGGGAGGAATGTTGTTCCTCAGTGAAATGTTGTGCAGGACACCGCAGGCCAGAATTATTCAGCATACCTTTTTGGGTTGGTACAGCAGTCTGCCCCCTGACGCATCTGAACATCTCCACCTGCATTTAATACAGCCAGTGGCGCGCTCAATAACAGAGCGCGCACGCCCATGGACTTCATTGAATTGCAGCTCCTCTGTGTTCTGCTGGTTGTTGAAGGGAGTGAGGAGCCAGGATCTCAGGGGGTAGCCACTGTCACCTGTGTGTCATACCACAACGATTATAATACGCAGCGGTTTGAGTAATAGAAGTGTGGATCTACTCACCGAGGAGCCGGCCATCACGCGCAGCGCCTGCCTGCAGTCTGTTGCATCAGGATGAATGAGTCATGTGTAGACCCAGGCCAACGTGCCACCACATTTGATAGAACCACGTCTGGCCCACAAATAATTTGGACGTTGATGGAATGTATGGTTTTCTCACTCGGAGCCCTTGTAGCAACAGGAGTGCAGTCAATAGCGCCGATAACATCTGGAAAACCGGACATTGCTGCTAATTGCGCTTTAACGTTGGCCTGTTCTCCGACCGTGTAGGGAAACTTCATGTACTGGACTGTCATTTTAATTATGCCATTCAAAACAGCGGGCATTACGATGCTTAGCGGTGACTGAGATATTCCAGATCTAAGGGTATTTGTTATCCAAAGAAGCTTTGGGCAGTAATTAAAATAATATCAATTCGATCAAGCCAGGATGACCCTACCTGTCTGCTGATTCCCGTTGGAACGAGCCGGTTGCCAGGAACCCAAAAGCAGTCAGCAGCTGGAGGTGCACTGGAAGTGAATGAGTCCGGCAGGCCGGTCGCTCTAGCACCGTGCTCAGCTCAGCACAGAGGTGTAAGGGGGGGTGGGGGGGGTCTGGGGAATCTAAATCAGCTGATCAGCCAGTCGTCGTCGTCATGTGCCAGGAGATCTGTGTGATCTCTGAACACTCTCTCCATCCGGATCCTGCCGTTGACATAGTCATCCAGGAGTGCCAGCGCATCCATTGTGACACATTATGCATGACTGTATCTGTGGTATCTATGTCTACTCAGTAATCACACTAATGGTGTCATGTTGTGGTGTAGATGTCTAACCCACGACATACAGAATCAGCTTGAGACAGGGAAAGTGCTTTAAATGAGAATTTATTAAAAGGAAACCAAGGGAGCAGCTTGAACGTAGCTGAGTTCTTTCATTAAGGGAGCCCGTGCGGGAAATCTGTGGACAGATGGGAGTCAGATCCAACTCAAAGGGGAAAACAAGGAATCGGAATTGTGTGGGGGACTTACAGTCTGGAGAGGGGAAAAAGTAGCTCGAGGGAGGAGTGGTCCGGTCTGGGCTGAGAGGGGATTCCTGAAACTGAGATCCAGAAGGGGAGACGTGGAGGGAGCTGAGTTGGTGGAGATCCAGGGAGCTTAGGTGGGCAGCTGGAGGTGGTTCTGGCCAGGGAGCAGCTGAGAGACAAGCAGGTTGGAGTTCCAGAGAAATAGCCAGTCGGGGATGAAAGTGGAGGTTTGATCTGGTGAACGAGAGCAGGAAGAGTAAAATGCAAAATCCAAAAATCCAAAACACATCTAAAATCTCAAAAAATCCAAAATCCAAAAACAAATCTAATTCTCAAGAGGTTACGTAGCTCGAATAAGTTTCACAAGTGGCTGTTAGAAGGTACCCAGGTAGAGTAATCATCCAGCGAAGTGTAGGAGTCTCCCAGCTGCTTAAATACCCCTGGCCAGCTGATGTGCAGATCTGCTGCAGCTTGGTCACCTCCAGACACGCCCACCTGCAGAGGTAAACTCAAAAGACAGGGAGTGACAGCAGGGAAATACCTCAGACCGTGACAAATGGCTGCAGGCCTGTCAAAATTTGATACACCAATAAGAGCAGTTATGTAACGCCATACAGTGATTCTTTAATTCAGCAGTACAAGCGATAAAGCTGCAGGGTTTCATAACTTTATCCTTCTCAGCAGCAGCACTGCAGGTGCTCTCCATGTCCAACATGTGCGTAAGCCAGGTCCTTAGTCAACTTAAAGTTGCGCACATTTTTCCGTTAAGTTTTCTTTCATAAATCCCAAAGTTTGTGTGGAAAGTTGCTCACGCAGTTTCCCGACCCCGTTTTGTGCGTAAGCTAGCTTGATAAATGAGACCCCTGGTACCCCATATTCTTTGAGTACCCCCACCCCCCCCACCGGACCCACTAAGGGTGCAGAGCTAGTCCCGTGTTCGAAGGACAGGACAAAAACCTCTTAGGTGTGTTCTTGCTGTGTCTTGTTTCTAATTCCATGCTTTCGTTCTTTTTTAAAACACAGAAACGGTTTCGTTACCTGTTTTGTCGCTACGTTTCGCCTGCAGCTGCAGACTTCCTCAGGCTGACACTGATGGTGGCGCGTCACTTCCTTCTCCGTTTATCTGCGGGCAGCAGAGGACGTTGGCGCCCTCTGCTGCCCGCTCTCCCCTCTCCGACGTTGCAGTCCCATGCGCGGTCCAACGTGCACACTCCGTCGTCCCTGTTCATGGTCCCACATCCACGTCTCCTTATCTCAATTGCTTCTTTAGAGAAGAACGATAGCATGGAATTAGGACAAAAACCTCGTTGCTCCTCCTGAAGCCGAGTCCCACAGGCCAAAAAGACCTGATGGAGTCTTTCTTCATAAATATAATGTCATCTATAAATATGATGTGACTATAGTAACATGATGTGGAAGCTGTTAAAACCCCAAAAGTCTCCATCAAAATGATCTTAAATGTAAAAACCAACACAAAGCTGGTTTATTTTCTGTCCCTCGGTGAGCAGCTGTGCTCAGCAGCAGCAGAGATGATGCTAGCTGCTGCATCAGCAAAACAAAAACGTTAAATCTGTCATGTTTACTACCTAAAACTGACGTTTAACTTCAGCCTGGTGCTTTAAATATATTTATGGATGTCTGGAGAAAACATCCAGTCTGCCTAATAAGAGCTAAAATAACCACCTAATAGCTTTTTAAGGGTTTCTCATCACTAACATGTCCTTAAATAATATATATTAGTAACTAAATAGCTGCTGATGCCTTTCGTTTCAATGATGACCAGTAAGAATAATACTTAGAGGACCAATGATATTGTTGCTATGTGAAAATAGAAATGAGGCTAAAAAGGTGCGATTACTGATTAAAATGTTAAAAGGGCCTGCCGTAGCGTGTGGGCTACAGGTCGCTGCTGTGTTCATTGGCTGCTAGGCTGCTTCCACATGTTTAAAAAGCTTAGCTGTGTTTCCTTTTGCTTTCACTAAATGCAGCAAAGCTTTGATTTGTTTCCAGTATTTTCTCGGCCTGCCCACCTGGAGGGTTAACTACCTGTTGACTACCTGTTAACTACCTGTTAACTACCTGTTAACTACCTATTAACTACCTGTTAACTACCTGTTAACTACCTGTTAACTACCTGTTAACTACCTATTAACTACCTGTTAACTACCTGAGACTCCAGCATGGAGACGAGCTGCAGCTCCTTGACGGGACGTTTTACTGGGACATTAACAAAGTTTAGCAGAGAAAAGATGTTTTTCAGCAGCTGTTCAACTACTGGTGTAGTTATTAACCGTTTCTCTCCTCCTGCTCACTCCCACCTCCGGGAGCATCGGAGCAGCCTGTGGACTGTACCAGTGTGAGGATTAGCGGAGGGGGAGTCACGATCTTTGAATGAATAAAAACACGTTGTTTTGTGAGTTTAATTTTTTCTCTTGTGCTCTGCTTTCATTACACAATACTGATAAATATGTTTATACAACCATTTTTTGGATCTCCCCTGGCATTTTCTACTATGCCTACACCCCCAGCAGGTCCCTGAGGTCCAGTGACCAAAGCCTACTGGTTGTGCAGCACCAGGCTAAAGGTCAAAGGTGACAGATCATCTGCTGCTGTGGCCCCCAGACTCTGGACCTCTCTCCTCCTGAGCCTGAGATCAGTGGACTCAGTGGTCTCCTTTAAACTCACCTGTTCAGGCTTTGGTGGGACCTCCATCACCTCCCTCTCCTTGTTCTGCCTTTCCACTGATGTCACTCTTTCTACACGTTCTCTCTCCCTTTCCTCACATTTCATCCAAACTTTTATTCTTTGTCATTTTAAACATGTTTTTATCTTTTAAAAGATAATTTTTACATTAAAATAATTTTGTTTCTGTGAAGAGCCTCCTTGATGTGTGTGTGTGTGTGTGTGTGTGCGTGTGTGTGTGTGTGTGTGTGTGTGTGTGTGTGTGTGTGTGTGTGTGTGTGTGCATGTGTGTGTGTGCGTGTGTGTGTGTGCGTGTGTGCATGTGCGTGTGTGTGTGTGTGTTTGGAGATCAGAACAATAAAACTGACCACGTGACCTCGACCGTTTTCAGCGTGCGGCTGATGGAGCGCGCGCTGAGCAGGTGTAGGTGCATACAGGTGTAGTGACGCGGACAGAGAGCTGGTTCACCTGACCAGGTGAACGGCACTAGGCTGGATCCTCTGACTCCCGAAGGAGATTCCTCACCTGGAAAGATGTTCGTGAGTTACCTGCAGCTGGACAAGGATCCCGCCATGTACCCGCACCAGAACCCAGTCACCCGGCACCCGAGCCTCAGCCTCAGCCCGCAGAACTTCCCGGTACCGGGCCCGCCGCAATACTCAGACTTCCCCGCCTACCACCACCATCCCGGGCTGAGCGTCGAGCCGCACCAGGGCCAGCAGACCGGACCTGGACCCGGCGGCTGGAGCCCGGTTTACCCGCCGCCCCCTCCGCCCACACGGGACGACTGGTCCTCCCATCCCTACGGGACCGGGGGAGCGCCTACGGGGCCCGGGATCAGCGGGGGCCCCATACCCTTCAGCCCGCAGGAGTTCCCCGGACAGCCGGTCGGCCTACCAGGACCGCTTTCTCCTGGATCACCGCGGAGGAGGAATCCGTACGACTGGATCCGAACCTCGGTTCCGCCCAGCAACCCCAGTAAGAACCGGGGCCCGTTTAATCTGGTTCTAATGGTCTAAAAGGATCAACAGAGAAACGGTTTTGGTTTAAAACAAAATTTCATCATTTCATCTAAACTTTATGTAAAAGTCTGTTTTAAATGATGTTAAAGATCTGACTTCCAGGCCTGGTTCTGGTTCCGTTTCTGGTCCCACAGACTGTTGAATATTTTCATATGACAGCAGATAGCAGCGGCTTTATCCGCGTTAGTCGGTTAACCGAGGAACCGCGGCGGGAATGAAAACTAGGCCCAAACCCCAAAAATCTGTCTCCTTTATTCATATGGATCGGTACCGGTCCGGTTCTAACGTTTCACTCATTCCTTTGTAAACGGTTCAGGTTCGGGAAAGAGCCGCCATCAAGTGAAACGGGCCTTTAATTTCAGCCCGAGAACGGCCGGTACCGGTCTGGTCCCAAAGCAGAAGAACGGAAAATCAAAGCAACAAAATACGTTTAAAGAGCAAATTGCAGGTTAAACAGCTTCAATAAAAATGGATCCATTCAGATTTAAACACAACAATGGACCCGAACCTTTGGGTCTCTATTCAGAACTTTTGTTTTACAAATAGATTTAAATCCATCTAATAAACGGAAATCCCTCACAGTATAATAATAATAATAATAATAATAATAATAATAATAATAATAATAATAATAATAACAATAATAATAATTATTATTATACTATCAAAAATAATACAAATTATTATTGTTATTATTATCATAATAATTATAGTAATAATAATAATAATAATAATAATTATTATTATTATTATTATACTATTAAAAATAATTATTATTATTAATGTCATTATTATAATAATAATTATAGTAATAATAATAATAATAAAATAATAATAATAACAGCAATAATAACAGCAATAATAATGACAACAATTATGATAATTATAATAATAGCAATAATAATAATAATGAACATGTTTGAATTTGGCCCTCTTTTATGTTGATTTTATTTCATAGTTTTCATTGGTTCACTCTGTCCTTGTTTTACACATTTGTCTTCTACTAGAATGTTTCACCTTTTTTGTAATCTGTATTCTGAATTGCTTTTATTTTCTGATTTATTCACTATATTTAACTTTCTGTACCATGTTCAGCGCCTTGGGCTTCCTGACAGGGTTGCGGAAGGCTTTTTATAAATAAAGCTTTGATTGATTGATTGATTGATAATAATAATTATTATTATTATAATTATTATACTACTAAAAATAATAATAATTATTAATGTTATTATTATAATAACAATTACAGTAATGATAATAATAATAATAATATAATAACAGCAATAATAATGACAACAATTATGATAATTATAATAATAGTAATAATAATAATAATAATAGCAATAACAATTATAATAATAATAAAAGCAATAATAATAATAAATGCCTATTATTATGAATAGTAAAATGTATTGATGTAATGAGAACACGCCTATCTCAAACTTATAAATCTGATTTTTATGTGGGTCAGTGAACACATCACTAACAGGCTTTGGCTATAACACGTTGAAATTAATCAGAAAGGTCAAAAATAAATAAAATTATAAAACTCAGTTTGATTCTTTAGTTTCTTTTTCATTCCTCAGAACCGGTTCTTTTAGAACTGATTGTTGTTGTTACCTTCAGCTGAGGATGATGATCCAGGTATGGTCCCTGCTCAGATGGACAATGGGGATTGGCAGCCATCTTGAACAAGTTAACCAGAACAATACACAATGTTTATCTGTTTGCTTTTCTTACAGATGTTTTCTACAATCTGGATAAAACAATTGCAGATGTTAAAAAAATAAATCAAATTTGGGTTAGATTTGGACCCCCCGCCCCCCCGCCCCTGACCCAAAGTGGTTCTGTGAGGAGCAGAGCAGACCGGGAGACAGATGTTCCCTCAAACTCAAATGTTTGAGTTGGATTTTCTGCTCGGAGAGTTTAAAGATCTGAGTTCTTCTGGTGTGTGTTCAGCGTTAATGAATCTGAGCTGAAGGCCTTTTAATGACTTTCAACATAAACCCGGTCAGCTGCTCTTTAACCAGGTTTCCTTTCGCTTCCACCTGCTGCATCACCCAGAAGGAAATCTCCAGCTTTTACGAAAAAGAAATAAGAAAATGCCACAAATACAAATGAAAGACAAACTAAAGTTTGGGGGGAAAATCTTGATGATCACAAGGAAAGCGATGGGGAACGAATCCAGAGCTCACTGGCAGGGCTGCTGTGTGAGACCCTCACCACACCTGCAGCGTCTCAGGCTGAAGAAGCGGAGACCCCCCAGCTGAAGGCTACACACATTAGCCTAAAGCTGCACAGTGCCACACAAGGACGTAATTTTCACTTTAGAAGTAGGGGGGGGGGGGGGGACACGGGGGGGGGGGGGGGGGTATCTTTACAATATGTTCTAATGGGAAACAGGCTTCAACACAAATGGTTGCTTTCCGCTTGGTCCTAGAGCTCAACCAGTGTCAATTTAATATAGTGTAATATTGTTTTTGGATGGTAAAAAGTGCAGGGGTCAAAACTTGACTTTGGAAAAAGTGGTGGTGGGGGGGGGGCATGTCCCCCCTGTCTCCCCCCCCCCCCCCCCCCAAATTACGTCCATGGTGCCACATGAAACCGTATTTTAAATCTCTGTTCAGGTTCATATCTCCTGGCCATGAGTGGGCGTCCAGCTGGAAAAGCCTGTGAGATCTGTGACGCTCACAAGGAGGCTGTGATCTCCTTCAGCTAGCCGCTAGAAGCTACGCTAGCAGATGGACTCGTGCATTTGAAGATAAATTCTGTAGGAATTCATGTCTGGGTCTTTGCTTCGGACCCAGGCCACTCCTCTTGGTTCTGCCAGAGTCGGGACCGCCCGCTGCACACCCCGCCTGCTACTGAGCTCCATGACTTTCACATTTTTAGAGAACCAGAAATCGACTGTTTTCATAAGTTTCCACAGTCACTCGTCTACTCCCTTGGTTCTCCAACGCTCTCCCTACTAAACCCGACGTCTGTAACTTGAGTTTAAGGCGGTACTAATCAAGTGTAAATAAATAAGTAAATGATTTAGTTAATAATAACGCCAGGCAGCATTAAAAATTCTAACTCCTTATAGCACAGGTGTCAAACTCCCAGAGCCGTGTCCAGGACTTTTAAAATGGGGTGGCCCATGTGGGGCACTTGTTTATTCATGGGTGGCACCAATGCTTATGATTATTTATTTATTTACACAAATCATTTATTTATTAATTTAGTGAATTTTTTAGTTTCACATTGCACAATCACCTTCTTTTCATCTTCTACCTTTGTGGTGGTTAGCAAGTCACTTCTTGTTGCATTACTGCCACCAACTGGATTTGATTGGGACTAAATATTATGTATGTGAATATGAAAAAATATTAAATAATATTAATACTACATGCCTGGGCTAGAAAACAAGGTGAAATGTGCATGCAACCAACCACACACTGTTTTGGAGTTTACAACCCAAGCCTTTTGTCGACAATGTAAAGTCAATTTAAACTGGAACTTAGTGGGGTGGCACCTGGGGTGGCCAATCAGATTCTAAGGGTGGCATGTGCTACCCCAGGCCACTCTCTGGACACGCCCCTGCAAACTCCAGTCCTCCAGGGTCGCTGTCCTACACCTTTTAGTGTTCTCTGTTCCAACATGCCTGATGTCAGTCAGCAGGTGATCAGCAGGCTCCTGGAGATGATGTGCTGCTGCACAGGTGATTCGACTGTGTTGGAGCAGGAAACCACAAAAAGACTCAGGATACCGGCCCTCGAGGCCTGGAGCTCTAGTCCCTCTGAGGTTAGCTGCATCAGGGCAGACAGACAGGTTCATTCACTCATGAGCAGGTATGCAGCCATGGAGATGAGACACAGGAGGCTCCCGGATCAGCTGATCTTCTAGTTTCTGCTGGTTTCAGATGGAAAGACGAGGACCAAAGACAAATACCGCGTGGTTTACACCGACCACCAACGTCTGGAGCTGGAGAAGGAGTTCCACTACAGTAAATACATCACCATCCGCAGAAAGGCGGAGCTCGCTTCGGCGCTCAGTCTGTCAGAGAGACAGGTACTCAGCTGATGGGTCATGTGACCAGATGCTCTTCAGTTCAGAGCTACTGTTTGAACTCATTTCCCTTCATAATTTCCAGGTGAAGATCTGGTTCCAGAACAGAAGAGCAAAGGAGCGAAAAATCAACAAGAAGAAACTCCAGCAGCCGGCCTCCTCTACGACCACGCCCCCCACCAGCAGCACCGGTGGACCCCACGGCAACAGCAGCAGCAGCATCGCCATGGTGACCAGCAGCAGCGGGAACAACGGCCTGGTTTCTCCGTCTTTAGCTTTGAACATCAAAGAAGAGTACTGAGGAGGGCTGGAGGCCGGGTCGGGGCCGGGCACCACCAAGTCCTTCTGCCTGCTCAGGAATTTCAAAGTAAAACAGTAATGAACTCTGCCGGGAACTTCAGACTTTTAATGTGAAATCAGGCTGCTTGAGGGAGGTCCAGTTGGATGACAAAACAATCAAATCAACTCCCAGTCCCATCTGAAATAATTCATCTGCGTGGTTCTTCTCCACAACCAGAGGTTCTCCTCAGGCACCTTCTGACCTGTTCCAGGGTGGCCAGCCGTGAGGTCGGTGACATCAATGGTCGTGTCGTCTCCAGGACAGCTTTCATGTTTGAACTGGGAGGGCCTGTGGAGAACTGGTGACGTCCCAACCATCAGGACTTGTTCCAGAGAGCTGCGTAGAAACTAAGACGTGCTGTTGTGGCTTTACTGATTGTCCACAAGCTGTAGAACTCCTTCCTGTTCTCATTCTCCTGCTTTAGACGTTAGAAGCATTTTCGTGTCCCCGAGGAGTCCAACCTGATGAGTGGGATGCTCCGATCCCTCGAGGGGACTTTCTACCATATTTATTAGAAATAATCAAACAGGTGTGAGCACACCTGGACTGTCCCGCTTCCTCCACAACGATGCAACCAGCTGGAGATGTAGCCGAGGTTCCAGGGAGGAGAGGACCCTCCAACATTTGCTTTCATGTTTCTTCAGTATGAACAAACTGATCAAATGAATTTGCTCCTAAATCAGCTGATGTAACCTGGTTACTTCATAAAACTTTAACACAAAGTGTTTATTTTGTTCCTTCGCTAACGCCATGACCAGGTGGACCTGGACAAACGTTGTGTAGAAGTTTCTGATCTGAAGACACCTGATGGTGCGTGCGTCTCTGGTCTCGTTTGTATTGAAACAACTCCATCGGAGGGTTTTAGACTCGTGTTGCAGTACTGGTACACACCCGTCAGACCACAACCCTCATGCCTCCAGCCGGGACTCAAACGCCGGACCTTCAGCCTCCAGCAGATGAATCTTGGCTTTATTGAGGATTTATTGTTTTATGCTGATGAGCCTGCAGTAAAATCACATAAAAGCCACAATAATCCTCAGATTCACTTTTATTTTCAAGTGTTTTATTGATGTTTGATTTTCTGCTTCGGCAGCTTCTGTTTCAGAAAAGTTTAAATCAGTTTCAGACATGAACAATGGATGACCGATCAGTCAGCTGTTATTGTGGCTAGATGAAGGAATCCGAGTTAGAACAAGGTCTGCACCCTCAGAACCACATCCCTGGTGGAGAACATCAGACGTTCGGAGCTTCTAACCAAGAGATCAGAAGACGAGACGGGTGCGTTTAGGGAGAACGTCGCTCTGCAGCGAGCTGGTTAACGACATCAGAAAGAAAATAAAACAGGAAACATCCTGAAAAGAAATCAGCCAGAATAAAGAAGGAACAGGAAGGAGGTCACATGACCTTTGAGCCTGGTTCCTGTCACCTGTCGACAGGTGAACCATTAACCTGTGGACAACCATAAAACTCCACTTTATGGAGGGATGATGAGGGCAGGTTGTAAATGATGAAGATGGGGTTCTGAGCAGGATGAATGAGTCACAAGAAGATTTTCAGAGTAAAAGTCTGATTCAGAGGCAGGAGCGTGTCCAGACAACTTGGATGGGGCCAAATACATTTTTGGGGTGTTACACCAAATGGGTCCTCGCGGTAACTCTGGGAGCGTTCAGCCTGTGGCGATGCTCTGCATTGTTGCTTTTATTAAACATTAAACCGTATGTATCCAAAACATTTCACTCCATTTTACAAACATCTAAAAAATATTCAAGTAATTTAAATGTTATTTAAAATACTTTTCAGTTTAATTCAGCCGTTGCTGTGTTCACGAACAGCCGTGGAGATAAACTTTGTAATGGTGAGCAGCAGAAACACGCGTTGTTTTATTGTGATCACTTCTTTACTGGGTGTTGTTTTTATTGTGTTGTACATTCATGTCGTGAATAAATAAGATACATTTATGGTTTGAGCCAACATTAATATGATTTATTTACACTGGCTTTTGCTCAGTGGGGTGGGGTGGGGGGTTAGATTAGGTTGGGGGGCCCATTGTTCAGAGGTAGAAACAGGAAATTGCTTTATAAAAATCCAGAGCAAATAAGATAAACAATAAAAAAAAATGAAGTATAAACAGGTTAAATTAGATCAAATACGAAGTTTGACTTCACATTTTCCCTCCAGATATTTTACCGGTTTCACCAGTAAAACACAAGAGACCTAAGGCGACTGGACCTCTCTGCCCCTGAGCCTGAGATCAGTGGACTTAGTGGTCTCCATTAGACTCACCTGTTCAGGTTTGGGGGGACCTTCATCTCCTCCCTCTCCTTGTTCTGCTCCTTCTACCTGTTCTGCTTTTCCCAGGATCCACTGATTTCCCTTTTCTCTTCCCTTTCCTCACATTTTTGTTAAATAAAAAAACTTGTTCTTTTGTGATTTTTATCTCGAGGTGCCATATAAAAGACGGCTGTCTTGTGTGCTTGTGGCGGCTGAAGGGCAGAAACGATGGTAGAAGAACGTACAGCATCTGTAACGTACCAGAAGGTGAAGTAACTTCATGTTAGTTACTTGGTCCCCGTCCACATCCACGTGTTTTATTAGTGAAGACACCGGGTCTGTTAGTTCATTTCAAGTTTAATAATAAAAAGAAAACTCAAATAAAAATCTGAAAATAAAAAAATACATGGCTGAACAACAAACTCTGAGCTGATTATGAGGAGAATCGCTGACGATACAGAAGTAATTATAGTCACCATAGTAATATAATAATAATAATCAGAAGCAGAATAATAATAATAGCAATAATGGAACTGGTCTGTGTGCTGGTGTCGAGTTACCAGCACTGATCACTTCCTGGTTTAGACTTCATGTAAGCATCGCACGGCCGGGTCATGGCACTTGTCAACATATGTTCACACGGTTACGCCACAGACGCACAACGAAAGTAGGACAGAGTCAGAACCACAGCTCCAACGATTCACAGCACGTGGAAAATAAACGGCATCGAGAGAAAAAGCAGCAGGGACGAGGTCAAAGGTCACGCTGCTGAAACAGGCGCAAGAGATCTGTGTGGAGGGGGCGGAGCCAGCGCTGTAAAAATAGATGGGTGGAGGGGGTGGAGCCAGCGCTGTACAACAGCTGGGTGGAGGCAGTAGAGGGGGCGGAGCCAGTGCATTACAACAGCTGGGTAGAGGGGGCGGAGCCAGTGCTGTACAACAGCTGGGTGGAGGCGGTAGAGGGGGCGTGGCCAGTGCATTACAACAGCTGGGTATAGGGGGCGGAGCCAGCGCTGTACAACAGCTGGGTGGAGGGGGCGGAGCCAGCGCTGTACAACAGCTGGGTGGAGGCAGTAGAGGGGGCGTGGCCAGTGCATTACAACAGCTGGGTATAGGGGGCGGAGCCAGCGCTGTAAAAATAGATGGGTGGAGGGGGCGGAGCCAGCGCTGTACAACAGCTGGGTGGAGGCAGTAGAGGGGGCGTGGCCAGTGCATTACAACAACTGGGTAGAGGGGGCGGAACCAGTGCTGTACAACAGCTGGGTAAAGGGGCGGAGCCAGCGCTGTACAACAGCTGGGTGGAGGCGGTAGAGGGGGCGTGGCCAGTGCATTACAACGGCTGGGTATAGGGGGCGGAGCCAGTGCTATACAACAGCTGGGTAAAGGGGCGGAGCCAGCGCTGTACAACAGCTGGGTGGAGGGGGCGGAGCCAGCGCTGTACAACAGCTGGGTAGAGAGGGTGGAGCCAGCGCTGTACTGGGTGGAGGGGGCGAAGCCAGCGCTGTACAACAGCTGGGTAGAGGGGGTGGAGCCAGCGCAGTACAACAGCTGGGTGGAGGTGGTAGAGGGGGCGTGGCCAGTGCATTACAACAGCTGGGTAGAGGGGGCGGAGCCAGTGCTGTACAACAGCTGGGTAGAGGGGGCGGAGCCAGTGCTGTACAACAGCTGGGTAGAGGGGGCGGAGCCAGTGCTGTACAACAGCTGGGTAGAGAGGGCGGAGCCAGCGCTGTACTGGGTGGAGGGGGCGAAGCCAGCGCTGTACAACAGCTGGGTAGAGGGGGCGGAGCCAGCGCAGTACAACAGCTGGGTCGAGGGGGCGGAGCCAGCGCTGTACTGGGTGGAGGGGGTAGAGGGGGCGTGGCCAGTCCAGTACAACAGCTGGGTGGAGGGGGCGGAGCCAGCGCTGTTCAACAGCTGGGTGGAGGGGGCGGAGCCAGTGATGTACAATAGCTGGGTAGAGGGGGCGGTGCCAGCGCTGTACTGGGTAGAGGGGGTAGAGGGGGCGGAGCCAGCACTGTACAACAGCTGGGTAGAGGGGCGGAGCCAGCGCTGTACTGGGTGGAGGGGGTAGAGGGGGCGGAGCCAGCACTGTACAACAGCTGGGTAGAGGGGCGGAGCCAGCGCTGTACTGGGTGGAGGGCAAAGATTATTATGATTCATATGTATTTTGAAAATTAAATTGATTTAACGACAAAAGTTCATCAGAAGAAAATGGATGAGTTTAAAATAGCGACTAGCGGAGAAGCTGAACAGGTGCTGAAACGTTTTGGCGAAACTGACTGATGCTAAAAGTTTGTTTTTCACAATAAAAGCGAGATGACGCTGAGGCGTCAATCAGAAAATCACAGAAGCTTTAAAAGATTCGCAGAAGAAAATCCGAGGTTTAGATTTTATTTCAAAGGATTTTTAACTCACACACTTTTCAAATAAAGAAGGTTGAAGTCAGAGAGGTTTGTAACCACACCTGTTGAGGAGGTGCACCCGACACGGAAAAACACAACTTAATCACTTTAGCATCTTTGCACCAACAACCCTTCAAAATAAAATAAAAAGGCCGATCAGGTTTCACTCAGATTTAACCAACTAACTCTGGTTAACCGAGCTGAACCAGCCCCAACCAGGCCAGGCGCTGAGCAGACCTGGGGTCAGAGGAGGGGGTGTCGGGTGGTAAACAACTATTTCACTTTTATTGACTCAAACTTGTTTGCTTTGGCCTCCAGCCACAATCTGCAAACGGCTGCAGGGATTGGGTGATGCTGAAAGCCCCGCCCACCTTCATAGGAACCCTTAACAATGTTGGCAAGGGAGAGATGGCGGTAGTATGAAGGGCATCTGAGGCAAGAGAGGAGGAAACACCGAGCTCTCGTCCATCGGCTCGGTTGGGGAATGTATGTGAGGTGTGTGTGTGTGTGTGTGTGTGTGTTGTCAAAGCGAGCGTGGAGCCATGGCAAGCTCCTAGCAGTCCTCCTCCTTGTCGTCCACTGCGCCTTTGAGCCGCAGACGAGCAAAGTCCTCGAAGACAAAGTCGTCGTCCTGGGAGATGCTGCTGAGAGGACGAGAGGATCCAGTTAGAACGGGTCCAGAATCAGCTGATCCCACTAGAACCATCACGACCTGCAGCTAATAAACTCACTTTGTGTCGAATTCTATCAGATTGGTGTCGAGGGGTGGGTCAGACTCCGGCACAGCTGGAACACAAACATCAGGATCAGACACTTGTGTTTCTGTGGCACCAGCCCAGAGAGACGAGCCGAACCGTAGATGTGTGTGTGTGTGTGTGTGTGTGTGTGTGTGGGGGGGGGGGGGCAATCACCTGAGTGAGGGCGGGATGCTGGCAGCTCCACAGGTTTAGGGTGCATCAGGATGAAGGGCAGCTCCACTGAAACGTCTCTGCAAAACAAACCAGCTCCATGTTTACCCACAATTCCCTGTGAGGGTTACCATGACTACAGCCCAAGCTGCCCCCTTCCAGGAAACTAACAGAACCTGGAAAAGCCTCCAGCCTGTGTGTCCTCGGATGACCGATGCTGCTTCTGCAGACACTTTGTCTACTTTTAACACTAGGTTTACAACATTTTTATTTGATAGGGTCTATGGTTAAAATCTGATGTTAGCCTAGATCTGGACAAGTGGGGGAGTAGAGGGAGGTGGAGTGTACAGTCGGTAAAGACGGCTCTCCCTTGCCCTGACTCCAACATGCCTCCATCTAAAAGGCTAGGTTATCCAGAGTTATCTCTGTAGTTATGCTGCTATAGGCTTAGACTGCTGGAGGATACACTGACCACTTTTCACACTCTACTGCTTTCTTCTACAATCTGCTCTTTAACTGTATTATTTCCTGCTATTTCAGCTGTTAACTTTATTTTCTCTCTAAGTGTTTTTCTCCCCAGAAGAAGCTACAACGATGTTCTGCTGAGCTGTGGTGGCCTCATGGAGGGGGCCATCATCTAGCACACTGCTGCTAACCTCTTAAACATTCTGCCTCTCCTGATATGTTGGATGTGCTACTAGTAGTTTACCCGTTTAATTATAGATCCACTAGGATAAATACAATAAAGTTTATCTCTCACCAAATAGAAGATTTGCTAAGACATCACAATGTAAGGAAGTATCTCTTCCACCAGGTGTGTTCAGAAGGTACCTACGACCCTCGGACACATCAGAAGTCCACTCACTCGCTCGCTTTGCCGGGACGGCTTTGCTTGCCGACCAGATCCCAAGAACTTCCACTACCGGTGTGGAGGCTCTTCACAATGGCGTTGGATGGGTTAATATTAATTTGATAACTTGTTGAACCTCATTTAACATTTTATTTTATAAACCCAGACATCACACGTTTTCTGAGTCCCTTCATTCAACTCTTAATAACATCTAAGATCATATTTCATCAGAGTTCATTTATTGTCCCACTTGATATTAAAGGTGTGACAGATCATCATTGATCCGTACGGCTAACACACGGAGAACACACGCCTCGGAAGAACATGGACATTGGAACACGTCTTGGCGGTTCCCGATGATACATCTCCTAGGCAACCGAGGTGGGACAAAAACATCAAGGCGAGGTTCCTTGACATTGAGAAACACCCCCAGCAGGGTTGTCACGGTAACCGGTGTAGCGGTAAACCCCGGTAAAAAAGTTGACAATAATAATAACCATCTTGTTTTTAAAAAACTATATTATCTTGGTGGATTACCGTGGCTGCGGTGTAGGCGCGGTGACCCTTACCAGCCACCGTATCATCTGCTGAAGTTGCCGGCAGCACATGCGCACTTTGTTGTTTACAACCAAACTTTCTTGAAGCTAAAGCTGAAATAATGGCCAAAGGAGGAGACGGCAGCGCTCAGGACATTTATTATCCCTCAAAGAAGACAAAGTGGGAAGTACGGGCATCTTTTAGATATTTGAAGAATGCCGAGGGACAGCTGATAGAAGACGGCTATCCTGTTTGCAGCACGTGCAGAAAAAGTGTCTGTGAAAGGCAGCAACGCTTCAAATCTCATGACACATCTGCGTGACCATCACCCACAACTCTACAGTCAACGCAAGGCAAGCTAACGTTAGCGTTTTAGCTAAAATGTGTGATGCGAGGACTTGGGTTGAGGGAGAATGCAACGAGTCGCTATATAAAGCAGCCGCAGCGCCGCTACCTGCATATAAACCGTGTCGCGGACACCGCCATGTTGAAATGACGCTATGCATTACGGGGCTCCCAGGGGCAGATAAGAGTTGGTCTCTCTCCGAGAATAATTATGAATTTAACAATGATTACTGCCTGATGACATTTTCCCCGAGGACAATACTTTCCTGATATAGGGTTTAATACTCAAGTAAGGGTAAAAAAGTATCTGATTAGAAGGCTACTTGAGTACTGAGTATCATCTGATCTAATATTTTTAAATGATGACATCAAACAGACATAAAATAAGAAGTTATGGGAAATTATTGGTATTTTAAAGACTAAAGGGGAAAAATGTAAACAAATAAATAACATAATTAAAAAAATAACACATTTTCGGCAAAATTTAGACACAAACTGAGGACAATATTTCCTGACATACACGGTTTATTTAATTGTGTGAAAATTTAACACGTTTAAAAAAAATACCGCGATGAAACCGAAAACCGTGGTGATTTTGGTCACAATAACCGTGAGGTTACATTTTCACACCGTGACAATCCTACCCCCCAGGAGCAGAACCAAGTTGTATGCAAGGGACAGGAAGTGATGTCATCAGAGTGCAACTTACCCTCCGCGTGAGACCACCAGCTTGACTTTAACTCTGTAGGACACCAGGATTCCCAGAACCTCCTTGTTGGTGACGTCCTTCACTCTGAAACAGAACACCCCATGGTCATGTGACTGCTGTGACCTGAGGGAGTGTGTGTGTGTGTGTGTGTGTCCATTACATAGTGGACGAGGCCAGGTTCGTGTCTTCGTGTTTGAGTTTCCCGTCGAGAGCGAGTCCTCTCTTCTCTCTGTTCTTGTCAAGCGTCGGGGTCAGGGTGTACACCTTACAGAAGGTAGAGCTGGATGACACCTGGTCGCTATGGAGACGACATACTGCTGTAAGTCAGACTGCTCAGGTAAACCCCACCCGCTGATCCTAGACCAGTTCAGACTGGAATACTAGAGCCTCTCAACCCTGGCCCCGTTCAGATCAGACCCTCATTTATCAACCGTACCTACACACAGATCTGTGTCATTCAGCAGAGCGTGATCTCTGAAGGGAATGTCCTCCATGAGCGATCCGATCTGCTTCCTGAAGGAGCTCTGCTGCGTGTGGAGCGACAGACAAAACGCACGAATCCAATTCTATTGTTGAAAACTACAAGAACCTCCAGAACTTCCTCTGCTCCTCCATCTACATGCGTTGCCAAGGTAACCAGACTGAATGACAGCTCAGAAGAGGCTAACTCCAAACAGATCATCCTAACGGTTATTCTCACCTCTGCCCTCTCCCGACCGCGTTTACAACCGGCTACTCCTGTTTCTCCTCTACTTCAGCAGCCAGCGTCTCGGTCTCACTGTCAATACAGTTGTTCTTGTTTCCATGGAGCTCGTGACCAAATATGGTTATGGTTTATGTAAGTAAATGACTGAACGGACACGAGCACCTGGGTGACATCATCAGTCAACTGTGGAAGAACGAGCGTACGAGCCCCCCCCCCGAATCGGACTCAGAACTAGTCCCTCCCAGAAACGATCCCTCCCAGAACCGGCTCCCCTAGTATAATCTGATCCTATTTGTTACTAGTGGTATACAGTGGGGCAAAAAAGTATTTAGTCAGCCACCGATTGTGCAAGTTCTCCCACTTAAAATGATGACAGAGGTCGGTAATTTACATCATAGGTACACTTCAACTGTGAGAGACAGAATGTGAAAAAAAATCCATGAATTCACATGACAGGATTTTTAAAGAATTTATTTGTAAATCAGGGTGGAAAATAAGTATTTGGTCACTTCAAACAAGGAAACTGGCTCTCACAGACCTGTAACGTCTTCTTTAAGAAGCTTTTCTGTCCTCCACTCGTTACCTGTATTAATGGCACCTGTTTGAACTCATTATCTGTATAAAAGACACCTGTCCACAGCCTCAAACAGTCAGACTCCAAACTCCACTATGGCCAAGACCAAAGAGCTTTCGAAGGACACCAGGAAAAGAATTGTAGACCTGCACCAGACTGGGAAGAGTGAATCTACAATAGGCAAGCAGCTTGGTGTGAAAAAATCAACTGTGGGAGCAATTATCAGAAAATGGAAGACATACAAGACCACTGATAATCTCCCTCGATCTGGGGCTCCACACAAGATCTCATCCCGTGGGGTCAAAATGATCATGAGAACGGTGAGCAAGAGTCCCAGAACCACATGGGGGGACCTGGTGAATGACCTGCAGAGAGCTGGGACCACAGTAACAAAGGTCACCATCAGTAACACACTACAACGGCAGGGAATCAAATCCTGCAGTGCCAGACGTGTTCCGCTGCTGAAGCCAGTGCATGTCCAGGCCCGTCTGAAGTTTGCCAGAGAGCACATGGAAGATACAGCAGAGGATTGGGAGAATGTCATGTGTTCAGATGAAACCAAAGTAGAACTTTTTGGTATAAACTCAACTCGTCGTGTTTGGAGGAAGAAGAATACTGAGTTGCATCCCAAGAACACCATACCTACTGTGAAGCATGGGGGTGGGAACATCATGCTTTGGGGCTGTTTTTCTGCTAAGGGGACAGGACGACTGATCCGTGTTAAGGACAGAATGAATGGGGCCATGTATCGTGAGGTTCTGAGCCAAAACCTCCTTCCATCAGTGAGAGCTTTGAAGATGAAACGTGGCTGGGTCTTCCAACACGACAATGATCCCAAACACACCGCCCGGGCAACAAAGGAGTGGCTCCGTAAGAAGCATTTGAAAGTCCTGGAGTGGCCTAGCCGGTCTCCAGACCTCAACCCCATAGAAAATCTGTGGAGGGAGTTGAAAGTCCGTGTTGCTCGGCGACAGCCCCAAAACATCACTGCTCTCGAGAAGATCTGCATGGAGGAATGGGCCAAAATACCAGCTACTGTGTGTGCAAACCTGGTAAAGACCTATAGTAATCGTTTGACCTCTGTTATTGCCAACAAAGGTTATGTTACAAAGTATTGAGTTGAATTTTTGTTATTGACCAAATACTTATTTTCCACCCTGATTTACAAATAAATTCTTTAAAAATCCTGTTGAAGTGTACCTATGATGAAAATTACTGACCTCTGTCATCATTTTAAGTGGGAGAACTTGCACAATCGGTGGCTGACTAAATACTTTTTTGCCCCACTGTACGTTGGACTCCCTGTATGTTGTGGGGGTGAAACTGGTCTAGACCAGTTGACCGGTAGTCCCAGGTGTCTGTAGAGGATGGACTAGACGGTTCTTGTTCTGGCACTTACTCTGCCTCCAGCTGGGCCACTGGACACTTGTACTGGGCGGTGCTGAACAGACAGATGTCAGCATACTGACGCACTGCAAGAACCAAACAGCTGATCAACATCTGGACACAGAAGAACTGAAGCTCCTGAACAAACAAATCAGTCCTACCAGAGATCTTCACTCTCTTCACGGTCTTGGTGGAGTTGTTGGTGACGTGGACGTTCACACTGATGGGCTCTCCGTGGTAGTACAGCTGCACCAAAGCATGATGGGACACAAGATTCAGTCAAAGCTGTGAGCAGACCTGAAACACGCAGAAGGTGGCAGCTGGTGGTGAACCTCTTTGTCTAGCGAAGCCTCCAGGTGCAGGGACCGGTCCGACATCAGGAAGCTGCGGGTGGTCTCTACCATGGGCTGTGGACCGGGCTTTTCTGGAGCATACTGGACCTTCCTGATCACCAGACGCACCGAGTTCCTAGCAACAACGCCATCAGTAACAGTCACCTCAACAGCTTTCAAAATAAAAGCCTGGAAACCATATTTAAGCTCCTGTCTGAGAGTTGACATGGAGCCTGGTTGGAGCTCTGACGTATCAGAACCTTTAGAACCAGATTGTTGCAGACAAGTCTCACCTCTTGTGGATCTTTTCTTCTATTGTCTTCGCACAGAAAGCTCTGATCTCAAAGTCCACCCCACAGGCCTGCAGTTAGGAAAGAACGGGTCAGAACCATCCACATAGATCCCGTCAAACTGGAGCTCTTATCAGGTCTCCGGTGTCACCAACCACAGCAGAAGCTCGCCACAAAGGCCACTCGTGGGTCAGGGGAGATCTTCAAATGTCACCAACAATATACTGCAACGTGATTGGTTGAATCAGAAGGGGTGGGGGGGGGGCATTCACTTATTGAATTTATTGAGATGTCAGTCAAAAGTTTGGTAAATGGGCTGTATTCGATATAGCGCCTTCTAGAGTCCTGGAACCCCCCAAGGTGCTTTACAGCACAATCATTCATCCATTCACACCCTAGTGGGGATGAGCTATCGGGGTTTTCCTGGCTCAAATTGAGGCAGAGGTGGTGCCATCCTGACCATGCGCCAGCACATGCATACTCTGTGTATTCAACTGCCTCACCTTTTTAAAGGCTAAATATTATGCATTAGATTGGTGTTTAGTTCCCTTTTTCCCATCTGATATTTACAGTTAAAAATATTTTAAATGTTTGACCTACATTAGGGATGAGCCTCGTTTCAGACGAGTATCCGGTACGAATAAAGCATTTTTGACGAACACGAGCATGAAACGAGTAAAACTCGTAAATATCTGTAATCGTACTGAAGGAAAAGCCTCATTGGGTAACTGACTGTCTTCACGCTCTGATTGGCCAGTCACATAGAGCGCCCGCCCCTCCCTACACACAAAACTCTGCAGCCGGCCGGGAGCTCAGTCCGTCCGGCTCATCCACGCACACACACAGTCAGTAACGGACCTCTCTGTGCTTGCTTTACTGTTGCTCACGTTTCTTCGGTACTCCCTAGGTTTTCTTCAGCTCGCCTCTTTTTCGGTTGAATATTTAAAGTTACTTGTTTCGTAATGAACGTGGTGCATTTGACAAGACAGAGCTGACGTGCTGCATCAGTCACTATAAAGTTGTGTCTGGTTCTAGCATTTCATATTTCCTAGTTCCTACTGCAGGAGTTCAGATGTACTAATTCATGCACTTAAATATTAATGTTCTGATTTTATTGAAAAACTTGTTCTGAAATAGTTTCTTTACTATTGTGATCAAAAATATTTAATCTCAACTCTGAGGCTGCTCTGTAAATAGTTTTCAAATAAACAATACACATAGCAACTTCTGATCAATCCATAACAATTTCAGACTTAAAATAATATATTGATGTAAACCACGCCCACTTCTGCGTTATACCACGCCCATTCCGAGTACAGATACAGATAATTTAGATGGTTGAACAGATACAGATACAGATAGTGGTGTACTCGCTCATCCATAACCTACATTTCAGTAACATTTTAGGTTTGTATTAATAACACTCATCTTAGTCAAAATAACACCTAAATATATCCAGCAAAATATAATGCATGTCATTAACATGCATTTGTATTAGAAATGGTAATAACATTTAATTTCTGCTGCTAACAATGTAACAGTGGCATGTCTATAATGTACAGGTTGGCAATATTCCAGGTGAAATTATGTTCAAAGATAGAAGAGTTTGTGAATTATATACTACAATGGCTTGCCGTACATCCAGCGCCAGCAGTAATGTGACTGCAGCGGTTCTGATCCGTAGCACTGCAGGATGCAGAATAAACAGGATGGTGGGGACTTTTCGTCCGCTTGTAGAGTTTAGTCTTTCTTAGTTTTATGATCATCATATATTTTTCTGTGCGCTACTTGATCGTGAGACTGCTACCCGTTAGCTTTAGCATTAGCCAATCTGTGTGTAGCTCCGGCCCCCACAATGCAGCTTTAAAATTGGGGCCAACCCAGAAGAAAGAAAAACTGCAGTTCCACCCTCATCCACTAGGGGCTGGTGTCAGAAGCGAGCAAATCCTCATTGACTCCCATGTTAAAAGTACCAATTTCACAGCAGAAATAAACATGTTTACAGCATGGTTCCAGAACATGTTTTTGGTTTAAATGATCTAGTTTACACTCATGACAACTCTGAGGGGGGTGAATTTTTTCTCACTCTTCTGTTTAAGTGTATTAAAAGTCTAAAATTCTGTATAATTAATGAGCATCAGACCCACGTGACCACAGAGCTAGCTCCGTGGAAAGGCCTCAGTAGAGCCTCGGTCTGGCCTGGAAACTGCTCCGGGATTTTGAGTCTCTGTGTTTGTGTATTCTTTTTTGGATATTATTTGTGCAATTGTTGGACAAAATGACTTGCTGTGGCATTAATTGCACTAATAGAGCGTCCGAGGAGTCTCCACTTCATTTTTTTTCGGTAAGTAAAATTATATTTATGTATTTTAGGTCACTGCCGAGCTGAGCTTAGATTTTAACATGTACTGTTTAACCATGAAATTTAAATGTATCAGGGTAAAACCCAGTGCATTTAACATAATGCTGCACTTTAGAAAATGGGTTGAAATATCAAGTCAAAGTCATTTTATTGTCATTTCTACCACATGTGCAAGACATACAGAAAAACGAAATTGAGTTTCAGTGCACACAATTCAGAGATCAGACATACATGGGTAAGACACCTGTAACATAGGTGTTATGGAGGACAACAGAGAAACCATTCAAGACCGACAACACTGGAAAAGGCAGAAACGCTCCACAGTCTGGGATTTAGTGTGAATCTACAACCAGGTTGGCTAATGCTAATGCTAGCGGGTAGAAGATTCATGATCAAGCAGGGGCCAGAACAGGATTGGTATCCTGCATGTTTTAGCTGTTTCCATGCTCCAACACACCTGTTCAGTTGCTCACTAAAGGAACACTAGGCAGTTTAGTTTGCTTTTAGCATCCCCTAGTGTCCGTTTGAAAGTGAAACAAAACCCCTCTCTTGGCAGTGCGTCTGCCTTTTTCACACCTTAATCTAAGAGTAAATGTCTCCCAGCCTTCATTAGAGTCTAGAGGAGTGATTAGTCAATAACTTAATCATGTCAGCTGTGTTCATGCAGGAAACGCCCTGAAGCCAGACAGCAGCGCCACTAAAGTCAGCTGGACCGGCAAGTGTGAAGTTGCAAGTGCGATATTCTGGCCACAGAGGGCAATAGGGGCTGGGTGGCCTGTCATTAACCCAGTACAGGTCATTTAAGCACAAACTGGCTCAAGAAAATGATTTAAAACATGCAAAGTATCCCTTTAAGCCTGTTATGTGCTGCGTTTCCCCTAAAGGTGTTCAGGGTAGCGGGTGACACGATGTCCCGGTCCTCCCATACAAATTAAGCCCTTTCAGGACTTAGCACAGATGTCGGCACATGACGACTGAGGCGAGAGTGAGTGATGTCACTGATCAGCAAAAAGACAAAGATTCTACTGTAGCAGGTTTTACTGTTGACGTATTGCTGCGGCATCCAAGTTGTAGTCGTCGTCGGCGTTGTTGTAGCATTGTGCTGCGCTTTTGGACTTTAGTAAAAGCGACGTTAAAACTGCGCTAATGTTAGTTAATTACTTTTCCTTCCATTCTGCTTTGCCAGCAATTCTTTGATTTTTAAGGGTTCTTACATTTTCCCCAATGACAAATTCGAGCACTTTTCAAGGTAAATGTTGGAACTTTTCAAGCACCACACAGCAAAGACAAAACAGTACTTAAGGAATCAAGGACAGCTTCAGCTCACCTCAGATTTATTAGTTATTAATAAGGATGATCTAGGGCTAAATAGCAATATAATTTCAAACGTGAAACAAGATGGCTCAGTATCTTTAATATTGATATAACCAGGGTCCGAAATTAACACTCGCCAAATGCGAGCAAATTGCTACATTTGGCGAGTAAATTTTTGAGCTCTACCTGCCACCTGGCGAGTTAATGTTTGCACCAAATTAGTTATGTTTATCCGTCATCTTCCATGGATTTCTGTGATACGCCTCCCGCCTGCATGCACCGTACACAAACGTAGGCGAAACGTGAGCACCGCATCCAACGTCATTTCCACCTATCCCATTCAATCAGTTTATCAAGTTAGCGGTTAGCTTCGTGTTAAAACTAGCGGTGAAACGTGGCGGTTTTTAACTGGAGTCAGCCAGCCTTCCAAAAGAAAACTCGTCGAACTGGAAGAAAAACCGCCAGGACCATTGGCAGCCTGGAGATGGCGGAGTCGTAAGACAATGGCTACATTATGATGGCCACGCAGATGTGTCATGAGATTTGAAGCGTTGCTGCCTTTCACAGACACTTTTTCTGCACGTGCTGCAAACAGGATAGCCGTCCGTCTTCTATCAACTGTCCCTCGGCATTCTTCAAATATCCAAAAAAATGCCCGTACTTCCCACTTTGTCTTCTTTGAGGGATAATAAATGTCCTGAGTGCTGCCGTCTCCTCCTTCGACCATTATTTCAGCTTTGGCTTCAAGAAAGTTTTGGCTGTAAACATTAAAGCGCGCATGTGCTGCCGGCAACTTCAGCAGATGATACGGTGGCTGGTAAGGGTCACTGCGCCTACACCGCAGCCACGGTAATCCACCGAGATAATATAGTTTTTAAAAAACAAGACGGTTATTATTATTGTCAACTTTTTTACCGGGGTTTACCGCTACACCGGCTACCCTGACAACCTTAGCCCTGACACACTTTCAGATATTCTCATGGTGCAGCTGTGTTCTCCGGAGATCAAGGACTAGGACCCAAATGAGGCTGTAATGCTTTGGCACAAAGACGGTGTCAGAAGCAGGAGGCCAGACTTCATGGACAGAGAAAACAAGGAGTCTGACTAGATTTCAATGAAAGAGTTCATAAAAACATCTCTAAAAATAAATAAATAAATAGTAAAAATGACAAAAGAGTTGTTTTTCCTATTAATTGATGTTTTAATTATTTTGTCACTCTGTTTGGAATCAACATAATATAGAATAACATGCTTTAGGTAGATCTAAATCATTTAGGATTTTGGCCGGTAAAAAATATGCTTGGCCGGTAGATTTTCATCATCTACCGGCCAACTTGGCCGGTGAGTAAAAATTTTTATTTCGGACCCTGGATATAACCATACAACCAGTGTATTTCTAGAGTTAGCACTTTCCACTAGCTTGCTTACATGTCTCACACGTCAGCTCCATCAGGAAACCTCTGGGTCAATGTTCTGGCCCTAACTTCGCATTTGGCTTTGTGGTTTTTGGCTATTTGAGGATGTTTGCTATTGTTTTAGTGAGTCTTTTCACCACGGCTGCTAATGGAGATTTGTTTATCTGGCTTGTGTGGAGAGAAGTTCCAACAGTGGAAACAGGCCTAACCATGTACTCTAAATCAGGTGTGCTGAAGCAGGGACACAGAAACCTGTAGGATAATAGATACTGAGGGACCAGAATTCCCCACTTCTGCACTAACAGGCTTTTATTGATGAGAACATGTAATGCTACAGAACCTGTGGTACCTTTCCTGTGTCCTCCGGGCCAGGCTGCAGGGTGACTGAACACGGCAGATTCTGTGGGATCTGGAAAAAAAAAGAGAAAACAACATTCTGAAATATCCTAACCTCTTAGCACCCACACACCCACCGTCGTCATCATCACCATAACCATCACAACCACCACCGTCACCATAACCATCATCATCACCATCACCACCATCATCATCACAACCACCACCGACCATCACCATCACCACCATGGTCACCATCACCATCACCATAACCATCATCATCACCATCACCATAACCATCACAACCACCACCGTCACCATAACCATCATCATCACCATCACCACCATCACCATTATCACCATCACCACCGACCATCACCATCACCACCATGGTCACCATCACCATCACCATAACCATCATCATCACCATCACCATAACCATCACAACCACCACCGTCACCATAACCATCATCATCACCATCATCACCATCACCATTATCACCATCACCACCATCATCATCACAACCGTCACCATCACCACCATCATCACCACAACCGTGACCATCACCATCATCACCGTCACCATTATCACCATCACCACCATCATCATCACAACCACCACCGACCATCACCATCACCACCATCACAACCACCACGGTCACATCACCATAACCATAACCATCAGCATAACCATCAGCATCAGCATCACAACCACCAACGTCACCATTATCACCATCACCACCATCACCATCACAACCACCACCGTCACCATCACAACCACCACCGTCACCATCACAACCACCGTCACCATCACAACCACCACCGTCACCATCACAACCACCACCGTCACCATAACCATCATCATCACCATCATCACCATCACCATTATCACCATCACCACCATCATCATCACAACCGTCACCATCACCATCACCACCGTCACCATTATCACCATCATCATCACAACCACCACCGACCATCACCATCACCACCATCACAACCACCACGGTCACCATCACCATAACCATAACCATCATCATCACCATCACCATAACCATCATCACCATCACCATAACCATCATCATCAGCATCACAACCACCACCGTCACCATCACAACCACCACCGTCACCATCACCACCATCATCATCACAACCACCATCATCACCATCATCACAACCACCACCACCAACATCACCACCACCATCATCATCACCACCACCATCATCATCACAACCACCATCATCGCCACCACCACCAACACCACCACCATCATCACCATCATCACCATCATCACAACCACCACCACCAACATCATCACCATAACCATCACCATCATCATCATCACAATCACCACCGTCACCATCACCATCATCACCATAACCATCATCACCATCACAACCATCGTCACCACTACTGTCATCATCACCACCACCGCCACCACCACTACCATCATCATCATCACCACCGCCGCCACCACCACTACCATCATCATCATCACCACCACCGCCACCACCACTACCATCATCATCATCACCGCCGCCGCCGCCACCACCACTACCATCATCATCACCACCACTACCATCATCATCATCACCACCACCGCCGCCACCACCACTACCATCATCATCATCATCACCACCGCCGCCACCACTACCATCATCATCACCACCACTACCATCATCATCATCATCACCACCGCCGCCACCACCACTACCATCATCATCACCATAACCATCACAACCACCACCGTCACCATAACCATCATCATCACCATCACCACCATCATCATCACCACCACTACCATCATCATCATCACCACCACCGCCGCCACCACCACTACCATCATCATCACCACCACTACCATCATCATCACCACCACTACCATCATCATCATCACCACCACCGCCGCCACCACCACTACCATTATCATCATCATCACCACCGCCGCCACCACCACTACCATCATCATCACCACCACTACCATCATCATCATCACCACCACCGCCGCCACCACCACTACCATCATCATCATCATCACCACCGCCGCCACCACCACTACCATCATCATCATCACCACCACCGCCGCCACCACCACTACCATCATCATCACCACCACTACCATCATCATCATCACCACCACCGCCGCCACCACCACTACCATCATCATCATCACCACCACCGCCGCCACCACCACTACCATCATCACCATCACCACCACCTCCATCACTCACTGTGAAGTAGAACGGGTGGGCGTGCTGACCCAGTTTCTTCAGCAGCCGGTCCTGAAGACGGCTGTTTGGTTTCTTCTCCTCAGGAACTGGAGGGAAGGCCTACAGAATCCCACAAAGAGAAGCAGTCAGAAGTGCACAGAACCAGAACCATTCAGAGGTCCGTTTGGGTCTAGTTGATCTCACCTGGAAGGTGGAGATGTAGAGGTCCTTTCTGAAGGACAGACCCAGAACATCCAGGTCCTCTCGCCCATACCGGAAGGCACATGTCAGTGTGACGAAGACTGTAACCAGGAGAACACTGGGTCATTAGCTGTTTGGGTTCTGACCCAGTAACTGTTACATCTTCATCATGGCTACAATTATCTGGGTCCAAACCCCTCCCAGAACAACCTACTACTACCTTGCTAGCCAGTCCATTCTCTACAGAAAGGAGCAGGTATCAGCATTGAGCAACAGAAGGATTATCCTGGAGGAGCACCAAAGGAGAGGATGCAGGGCTGGAGTGAAGGAGACTGTAGAAACTGAGCATTTCATCCATTCTCATGGATCCCGTTAAGACCTTTACCCAACAAGATGGAAGAGCCCTAACCAGACTGCAGTAGGAGTACCAGCTGAGCAGCCTCCTTCTGTTCACGGAGACCTGGCTCATGGACAATACTCTGTCATAACTTTGATGGCTTTCATCTGGTTAGAGCGGACAGGAGCACAAGGGAAAGTGACAGTTGGAGAGGTGGAGGACTAGCAACGTACGGGAATGAGAGATGGTGTAACCCAGGAAGCATCATTGTGAAGGAACAGCACTGCACCAAAGACTGTCAGCAGTCAGCGTCCAGCCATAGCACCTGGTACGGGACTTTCTACATGTTATTGTGCTGACTGTTCACATCCCACTCTCAGGGAACGCCACGATCGCCTGTGGGCTTATTCACTCCACGGTCTCTTAGCTACAGACACCTCATTTTCATTTCTGGGGACTTCAACCCTGCCTCACAACCTGCAACTCTCCCAAGCTTCTCACAGTTTGGCACTCACACACTAGAATCTGCTCCACTCCGCCTGGACCGGGTTTGGAGCATTCTCATTAGCTTTGGATTTTCCCATGAGCAACCGGACGTCTTTTTAGCCCTCTTCCCAATGCGGTCTGCCTGGAGCTGAACAGGTCCAACACGCGCGCAGCCGACTAGGGTTGTCACGGTGTGAAAATTTTACCTCACGGTTATTGTGACCAAAATTATCAGAGTTTTCGGTATTATCGCGGTATTTTTTTAAATGTGTTACATTTTCAGACAACTAAATAAATCCTGTATATCAGGAAAATATTGTCCTCAGTTTGTGTCTAAATCTTGCCTAAAATGTGTTATTTTGTAATTATGTTGTTTATTTGTTTACATTTTTCCCCTTTAGTCTTTAAAATACCAATATTTGCCCATAACTTCTTATTTTATGTCTGTTTGATGTCATAATTTAAAAAATATTAGATCAGATGATACTCAGTACTCAAGTAGCCTTCTAATGGGCTCGACACACGGGAGGCGACCCGCGGTGTTCTGTTCCATGGCGAAATTGAAACTTCCATTGTTTTGTTTGGCTGTGTCAGGTTGGAGGGAATTAAGGTTATTTAAGCGGTTCAGAGTTAAAAAAAGTGGTAGATATGATGTTTCACAAGGTGCTGTTAGAGTTATGTGAAATCTTACTTCAGATTTTACTACATAACATAATAATAATCAACTTCTCCATGTTTGCTCGGAGATGTACGGAGCATCCTGTCTGCTCATTGGTCAGTGAATGAAACCTCCGTTGATTGGTCCTCGTCCGAGCGACAGCGATGAAACGTTGAAAACATTTCAACTTTCTGGGATCGTGTCGCCTGTGCACGACACGTGCACAAAATTTTACACGCACGTTTTTCGCGTTTCGCTTAGTAGGAGGGAGACCTGTGATTATCGCTTTGTCGCGCATGTCTCATTGAAAATGAATGGAGGAGAGGCGATGTCGCCTCCCGTGTGTCGAGCCCATAATCAGATACTTTTTTACCCTTACTTGAGTAATAAACCCTATATCAGGAAAGTATTGTCCTCGGGGAAAATGTCATCAGTTAGTAATCATTGTTAAATTCATAATTATTCTCAGAGAGAGACCAACTCTTATCTGCCCCTGGGAGCCCCGCAATGCATAGCGTCATTTCAACATGGGGGTGTCCGCGACACGGTTTATATGCAGGTAGCGGTGCTGCGGCTGCTTTATATAGCGACTCGTTGCATTCTCCTCGGATCACGCATTTTAGCTAAAACGCTAACGTTAGCTTGCCTTGCGTTGACTGTAGAGTTGTGGGTGATGGCCATGCAGATGTGTCATGAGATTTGAAGCGTTGCTGCCTTTCACAGACACTTTTTCTGCACGTGCTTATCATTCTGAATGCTGAGGAATTAATGAGCCTCTGACTGAAGCTGTTTTTTTAAGTTTCTTACTGCTATGAGGAGCGTGTACACACACACACACACACACACACACACACACACTAGGGCTGAAACGATTCCTCGAGTACCTCTAATAATTCGAGTACACAAAAGCCTCGAGTCAAATTCTCTGCCTCGAGGCTTCGTTCAATTCATGTTTAAATGGTAAATGGTCTGTATTTGATATAGCGCCTTCTAGAGTCCTGGAACCCCCCAAGGCGCTTTACAACACAATCAGTCATTCACCCATTCACACACACATTCACACACTGGTGGGGATGAGCTACGATGTAGCCACAGCTGCCCTGGGGCGCACTGACAGAGGCGAGGCTGCCGAACACTGGCGCCACCGGTCCCTCCGACCACCACCAGCAGGCAAGGTGGGTTAAGTGTCTTGCCCAAGGACAGCGACAGACTGAGCGGGGCTCGAACCTGCAACCTTCCGATTACGAGGTGAGCACTTAACTCCTGTGCCACCGTCGCCCCCATGTTTAATTAATTCATGGCTTTGCAATCGCCCGGGGTCATGTTTCACCTGGACCGAAATAAGTGACGCACATACACACGGCACTGAATAGACCTTTTTCACAAAAACCGGAAGTGCATCATCGTAGGGTTAACTCGTTCCGTTCTCGGTCATGCTTCATTCAGCATGGACCATGTTTACACTTCAAGTCTTGTACATTTACCAAGTATTTCTTTCGGCGATGTGGAAAGATTTGTTGGCGAACAATCCATCACTAAAGGAACTAAAATGAAAACAGGATAGAAGTTTCTTCATGAGCAGTTTATTGAAAAATACAAAGGTAAGTAGAAGGCTATCGTGTGAGCTAAATAGCTTCAACTGAACTGTGATTTATAGTAATGAGTCATTGGCATTTTTATTTAGTATGCAAACAAAAATGTTTTGTATGTTGTTATGATAGACACAGCCTAAGTGTAAGTATTTATTGTGTACATAGCAAACAAATCAAGCCAAAACTGCTAGGCTACATGAGGATAGCATTTAGCTAAATGAAAGCCATGAAACAATCATAAACAGAACGAACTGATGTTACAATGCTGCCAATAGACTACACGTATTTGTCTTTGTAGTATCAAATGTAGTAGCTGGTCACGTGTTTGTGAGAGCTAAATGCTAACGCTCACAGAGGAGAAACGAGGATCCCCACAAATTAGAGGTTTTAGATAAGACACCGCAAGTTCCATGTTCTCATTCCTACCGAGCATATTGTATTATTAGATTTTTTTGCTAGTAACGATGCATTTTCTGTTATTTTTGCACAGGTATCATTAGCTGTTGACGGTGGGCGTCTGGTGGCGTTTTCCTGTAGCTGTGTGGCAGGAAAAGGATTTTGCAACCATGTTGTGGCCCTACTACTTCAAACAGCCCACTTCTCACAGTATGGCATTAAGGCGGTCCCTCCAGCTCTGGCCTGCACATCCAACTTACAACAGTGGCACAGACCAAGAACTCAAGTAAGTTAAATTTTATTTACTGTTAATGCATTTGATCTTTTTGGAATAACACTGCAATGTTAGTTAATAAAGACTTTATTGTGCTTTAGGGAATACTGAATTTGTTTAATAACTGTAGCGTGATGAAATGTCCATCGTTGACCTAAAAGGCCCTGCTCTATTTGCTCTGCCCTAGCAAAACCATAAGTTTCTGACACAATCTACAGGATATGGGCCAAGGCCACTCATGCTTGGTGCTCTTATCTAAACTGTTGCTTCCTCGGACAGCACAAGAAAGAAGACCAAGAACTCTATTAAATAATAATTAAATAACTTTGTTAGTCCAAATAATCATGTGAAGCTCAATGTTCAATCAATCTGTGAAATAAGAATATTAATTACTTGATATTATAATCCTATGATAGTATTTTAATAAGTAATATAACTTTAAATATTTACACTAGACTGATCACACGTAATGCTAAAATCACATGACACATATCCTTTTCTGATCCAATCAGAACCTTCCAGATCTGACGCGAGGCGTGGTTTTGTTGGTGCTTGTATAATCCCCTTTTGTGGCAAATTCTGATTCGACAGTAAATCAAAACATCCAAATTATAAAACTATGCCCCACGTCATCTTAACTTCAGTTCCAAGCGTTCTAGAGAAGTTATCGGAGTGGCCAATCCGTAACTTTCCTCTTAAAGCCGAAAAAAACCAAACGACAAGCTGGATTAAATATGTTGCATGTTCCACCTGCTGCAACGGTTCCTTCAGAATAAAAGCTGAACCATCAGGACCCCTTCAGGGTCTCGCTGATGCTAATAAACTGTCGTGACCTGGGAGTAACTCAAGACTGGAAGGGTCGGCAACCGCTGCATATCTACAGGCGTCGGTTCCAAGAGGGTCCAAGCTGGACCCCCGACAAACGGGGACTTCCGTTGGGGTACGTAGACCGTGTAACGCGATGAAGGAGCTATTCCACCGAAGCTTATTTACCCTCTCCACAGATGCCTCTGACAGAACGAATCTGCATGAGACTGCCTCATCTGCTTCTAAACTGCTTGCTCTCCAGCTCAAGAGAAGAATGAAGATAAAGGACTCTTTCCTTTTAATAAATCAAAGAACTCTATTTTTAATGAAGCTAATCAAACAAAGTGTTAGTCAATAATATAATGTTGACCAATCTGTGAGATGACAGTTATGATTAGTATGCTTTAATAAGTAATATGACTTTAATCTAGCTGCACTAGACTTTCTGATGACACGTAATGTAAACACACGACACATTGCTTTCACTGGTCCAATCAGAACCTTCCTTTCTGAAGCGTGGCATAGTCTCTGTGGTGTTTATACATCTGCCA